TCATGTCGTTATACATGTGTAAATAAACTTTGCACTTCTGAATCACACATTTTCTTTTCTCTCCACGTCTAGTGAGGGCTTCGGAAAAATACGATTTAAAAGTTGAAAGCACCTCAAAAATGTTCGGATAAATGCTACTTGTATTACACCTTCCTGATTTTTATCAAATGGCAACATTTACTTTGTTTTAATTAACTCCTTCTGGTGAAAGATTTGGATATATGTTATACTTCAGACCCCCCCCTATCAAGATTTATCTATGAAAAGACCTGGACTAGAATCAGATTTTTTCTTATTTTTCTGGCAGTTCAACAGTGCGGAAAGGTGAATAATATGCTTACTAACAGGAAACAGCTGGTAACCACGTGCATAACATCTAACTGTCTGTTTGTTTGCTCGACAGATCCACAGGGCCCTGCGCGAGCCGTTAAACTAAGTATATGTGTACTTTTCCAAGTCTCTTTCTCTGGAGTCAAATGGAAATTTTGGCTAGCAACGATTAAACAAAATGAGAGAGATAAACACGCTTTCTGTTTTTGTCTTTTTACACTACTTTTAAGTTATTGCTTTCTTTCTGCTATCGTAATCTATTCGGTTTACTATTTTCGTTCTATAAAAATCAGCCTCATCTTATTCTCATTAAGAAAACCTGACTTTTACATTTATTCTAAAAATTGAGAAAAACGAATTAAAAGTATTTTTTTAATAAATACATAATTCTATGTGATATCAAAATAAACAGGACGGAACTGACAGAAATGAAGGCTAAATTAAAAAAAGACGGCCTTACAGTATGGAAAAAAAAAGACTATATGAAAAGAGATGACTTCAAATTTAGGAATAATGTTTGTATATTTGTTTTTAAGCACAAAGTTATATAACGGTTTAACTGTGCTGCCCACATTGAGTAGCGAAACTCAGTTTTTAGCGTTATAAGCCTTCAGGCTCACCGCTGAGTCAGTAAGTTTGTTTGTTGTTTTAGAGTAAAGCCACATTGAACTCCGTATTTTGGTATTGTAAGTCCCTAAACTTACCGCTGTCCAACCGGGGGGACCATACAGCAAGAGATCAGACAAACATATACATAAAGGTTGAACGAAAGAAACAATTTTACAACATGCAAGAAAGGTTATACGACAGGAGATAATCGTAAAAATTAAAGTAAATACGACAAAAGATGATCTCACAAGAGAAAATGATATAATGTAGAAGTCAACAAATCAGAAGAAGAAAACCTTTCCCCCAGATTTTTCTCTCTATATGACCTTATATAAAGTATGATTAACGCGTGCCACAACAACGAATATTTATTCACTAACTACAGCGAGAAGGAACGTCGAGAACCTGTTTATGTAACAAAAAAGTTATCAGAATTTAGAGTATACGTCTATCTTTGAATTATTAGGTTACAAGTTACTATTAGGAAATAAATAACATGTATACGATGACGTTTCTGTTTAACATGTGCATGGCTATATAACTACAGACTTAAGACTCACTTAGGACTTTTTTATCTCACTTTTCATAAACATTTCGCCTCTTGTTGCAGTAGGACTACCAATAAAAACAAATTATACTATTCAATACTGTGACTATCGGAGTTGGGTACTAGATTCTTAGATACTGTTGATCACATGATTTAAACTTAACTTTTTGTTTCCAGAAACTGCTTTCAACCACATTCTTTTTTTTCTTTCTTTTTTCTTAAACTGTGAGCATTTTTAGCTAATATGAAGTACTATAAAACACAACAAGAAAGCTAAAACTAATATTTTAAATGTGTCAGATCTAAGTGGTCTCCCAAACTAAAGCCATGGAGCGTCGTATTTCATTTGATTCTGCCCTTTTTTTTACCACAATATAATACAATGTATACTCATGGTTGATCTTTTTGCTTCCAATACAGTATTACTGCGTAAGTAAGAGTGACACTACCGAGGATGACACCACCACCAGATGAACTTCAGAATTTTGAAACTCTAAACTACATAGGTAAAAACACACACGAAAACAACTTTTTATTAGGAAACTTCTGTGTGAATGGTTAAACACAAATTCTGCCCGAGTATGTATGTATATATATATATTTACATCACACATATATACATACATACACACAATACATGAAATTCAATTAATGTTTTGTATATTTCACCACATTATGCAACTCGTTGTGAGAACTGAGAAGGACACAGCTGATTAAAGGTGTCCACCGCTACGTTTCTATATAGTGAACTTTAAGAGTTTAACCCTCATGTTACTTAACGTAGACCTGGCATGGCCTGGTGGTTAGGACACTCGCTTCGCAATCTGAGAATTAGGTGTTCGAATCCCGTTCCAGAATACGTTCGCCCTTTCACCCGTGGCGGCGTTATAATGTGACGGTCAATCCTACTATTATTTGGTAAAACAATAGCCCAAGAGTTGGCGATAGATGGTGTTGACTAGCTGCCTTCTTTCTAGTCTATCACTTTAACATTGGGGACGGATAGGGCACACACACATATATATATATGTATATATACATACATACACACGTGAGAGTGTATGAAGAAGCAATATTCAAACGTATCTAAAATAAAATCCTAGGGAAATTAAGTTTTTTTGTAAGATCTGAATTTTCATTGACAACGAGTAGCCGGTTGCTACCACTACAAACTAAATTTGCGTGCGGCATATTCATTCATTGTGACCAGTAAAACGTAGAACATGTCTGGCTATGTATCCTCTTTCAAATAACACTAAAATATTAAAAACGTGCCTAGATACGTATATTTTCAAAGTGACTAATAAAACATTAAGAACATTCCTGCTACGTATAAATTATTTCAAAGAGACCAATAAAAGGTTAATAGCTTTTTTTGATACGTATACATTATTTCAAAGTGACCAATAAAATTGTAAGAACATTCTTGCTACGTATACATTATTTCAAAAATGACCAATAAAACATTAAGAACATTCCTGCTACGTGTACATTATTTCAAAGTGCCTAATAAAACATTAAGAACATTTCTGGTACGTATAAATAATTTCAAAGTGACCAATAAAACGTTAAGAACTTTTTTTGATACGTATACATTATTTCAAAGTGACCAATAAAATATTAAGAACTTTTTTGAAATGTATACATTATTTCAAAGTGACCAATAAAACATTAACAACTTTTTTGAAATGTATACATTATTTCAAAGTGACCAATAAAACATTAAGAACTTTTTTGAAATGTATACATTATTTCAAAGTGACCAATAAAACATTAAGAACATTCTTGCTACGTATACATCATTTCAAAGTCATCAGTAAAACATCAAAAACGTGTATGATTATGTACATTACTTCAAGGTGATAATAAAATATAAAATTCACACCTCACATCCCAATATCAAGAACAATAACGAATGTGCTGCCACCTTGATAACTTAGTTTTATCCAATAAAAATTACTTTTAATGAAATGTTAATGATTTTACGTTTGACAGAACAAGTGAACGAAGCTTTAAACACTTTAGTGATTTGAATAAATAGAGTTGTTTAAACATTTGTTTAACAACAAGTAAAAGCTTGGAACGGTCTATTCATTCATTGGGGGGGGGGGGGTCTTTGAGCCAGACTAGTTTTGGAGAATTCCGCTCCTCATCAGTGACCCTGGACATTACCACCAATGAAATATGAGACCAAACCAAGCCTTTATAGTAGTGGGGTATCGAAAATCGAACTGGTGTATTTAAATGTTTTACACTCGCAATAAAGTTGGTGGTAGTGTCCGGGGTCACTGATGAGGAGTGGAATTCTCCGAAACTAGTATGGCTCACAGACACACCC